TGTTGATCAAGACGAAGGTGATGTTTTGCAAGTTCGTCAAATCGATTTATGTAAAGTAAAAGTGGGTGACCTCCGCTTTCGAGCAAAAGACTTTGAGTGCGCGCTCCCGTGAGGGGGTGCATCTCGCGGCAGGGGTGCCGAATTCGGCACAACACCGGAACATTCCTCTCTCAAACATCAGGATCATCTCTCAAACATTTTGGCACAAAATGAACATACATATATGCCTGTATGATGCGCGCGCACGCATATGGACATTAGATTACATTCTGTCTTTCAGTCATAATGATCAGGACAGTAGCCTCTTGGTGAAGACTCAGGAGAGACTATCATTCTGCTACAAGAAGTGCTCTTTATTGACACCAATTTATTTATTATTATTATTGACAGGTGGTGCTGGAGGGTGCTGAAGGCCCCCTGAAAATCGTTCAGTGCTCACGTTATCTCTCCTGAAAAATATTGAATTCCCTCGTTTGATTCAGACCGTTTTAAAAAAAACGCTCCCAGAAGCAAACTGGACACAAAGACCTCTAAATCTCCTTTCCCTGCAAAACCTGAGGTAGCGCCGCCGCCGCATGATTAGAAGAACACTATGAAGACAGGACAGAGCACGTGGCGGGAGTCGTGCCGCATGTCAGCGCAGTTTTTTGCTAATAGAACAAAGTTGATAAACACATATAAAATGTTATATAGCCTTATATAATACCAGATCTAGGCTGACCTTCTCAACATTCATGCTCCATCTTTCCTGGCCTCACTTTTAACCGCGACCACCTTAGTTTGTGAAACTGCAAAATTAAGCTATTTCTTGTTTTTCCACTGACAATACCAGAATCAAAAACGAGAATTGACCCATTTGCTGTTTTCAGTACTGGATTTGGAAATAAAAATCAAATGAACAGAAGGTACACGGACCTACAGTGACCACTGAAGAAGTGAGAACCCGTTTTTGTTTAAACTGAGCTGCTCCTTTTTTTTTCTTCACTAGCACTAGGCTGGTCAGCTAGGTAACAGGCTACAAGATAGCTAACAGCCTAAACAACATCAGTAGCTATTTTCACAGGCTTGAATTAAAGTACAGGATGTCCCAAAAAAATTGACATCATTTCGTAGTCTAATAACATAGACAATTCTCCCTCAAATGATCTCAGATTTTAACAAAATGTGTAAAAACTAGTTTCATTTTTAATGTTTTTTCAGGTTGAAGAATGGCGTTCACTAGAAATGAAAAGGCATTTTGTGCATTAGAATATGCTTGAACACAGTTAAACAAGAGTGTACAGTGTGCATTTTTGAAAAAATTCAATAAAAATGCACCAACTGGAGACTGTTACGCAAGACATGCTACAGTGTGTTTGGCAGGAGCTGGACTACCGACTTGACGTGTGTCCTGTCACAGGCGGTGCGCATATTGAACATTTGTGAAGCTTTGTGAAATCGGTTATAAAATCTACATCCCTCTGAATTTCTTGTTTGAATTTTGATAAATAAATCTTTTACTGTTCAACATGAAGCCTATTTAATTTCCTTTGCCTAGGACATGTAGTTACTCAGATATTCACATCTTAAATAATGTACATTTTTGGGACACCCTATACTTACGATATGATTCACTGTAAAAGGGCAATATAAAACACTAAAGAATGTCTCTTTAATGGCTTACACGCTTCAATTATCGTTTCAGTTAGAAGTAGCGTCAAACCCAGGCTAAATCCCAAATAGCTCTGTAGTCCCTAAATAGTGTGCTGGCTATGAAAGTTTCGAAATTCTAGCCTCTACAGTCAAACAATGCATCATTTATCAAGTATGGATGTTGCTGAATCCCAAATGACTATTTTAGCTATATCACTCACTGTTGGGGTGAAGGATCCGGTATTTAAATTCCTACCTAGTGGACTATGTAGGGAGCAGGGAGCTATTTGAGAGTCAACCCCAGCGTGAGAAGAGGGCGCTGCTGGATTGGTGCTAAATACGACTCGGTGGTAATTTAGTGACCAAAAAGTACTTATAAAGCAGATTTTCTTTACAGATTTTCTTTTTCTTTACCACACTGTTCAAAACCATTAAGGTCAGATATAAAATCCACAACTTTAATTTAAGTGGACTAAGACTGTGTGTGTTCAGAGCAGCAGAGCAATTTCTGCAGACAATCCATTTATGAACCACAAGGAATCTGCAACTCCTGCAAAGCGAGTAAGGAGCAGAGCAGATATTTATGAGTGGTGTAATGGGGGGGGTGGTTCAACACCACATCATACATGACACTATAAGGATAGACTAAAGAAGTTAGCACTTATTGTGCTTCCACCAGGTTTAATTCTTTCTAATTAACTGATGTTACCAAGTGCCTTAAACACCGCAACTAACAAAAAGAGAACATATTTCTAGGGTGAACTACTACAGTGCTGAGGGGTACTCTTCATCTGTTTCTCAAGATTTTTTAGCAAATTCAGTGATAACAGTGTACATGATGGTACAAATGCCAGTGAAATAATATTTATCTTTATATTTATATTTATATTTATCTTTGTATTTTTTAAATAAATAAGTAAAACTGTTCTACTGTTTTGCCCCACATTTACTGCCGTCTTTTTTGATTGGTTACCTGCTGAAAAGTGTCACATGATGAGCGGAGCTTTTCCATGGAAGTTAAACATCTTTTACCTGTCCAAAAGGATCCGCGGCGGAACAAAAGAGCCTGCTTAGCTGCTGTTTGTCCTTGTGTCCACCAAGTGTTACTGTGTACTGTTTTGAAACACATGGAGTAAGGGACACCTTTCTGATACATTTGAAAAGATTAATGCAAAATGAACTAAAACATGACCTCAAATACTCCTCCACTAAACTAAAGCAGGTGAAGACACTTAAACATAATGAACACCTAAAAGTTTGAGTGCTTAAAATCAATAGCAAATACCAAAGAATTGCATTCACTCCCAGACATCCAGACTGCTGCTTAACAGATTAATGACTCATTAGTTATGACATAAACTATAGTATAAATTCACCTTGTGACCTCATTGTGTTATCTCAGTACCAAAAAGTTTTACATTTTGCTCATGGGATCATGTTGTAATAATTTTCACAGTTTGGATCTTTTCAGCTTTTTCTTTTGTGGTAGTGTTCAGGTTCTCTTTGGCTAAAGAACATGCAAAATAGATGAATGTGAAGTGCTAAACTAACCTCCTCCTCCACCCCCCACTTTTTCTCTCAGCAGAACATTCAAGAATCGATGGCATTGGCATGAAATGGCAAACAGTACCAATTCCAATCAGTTGAGCCGAAGAAAACACAGAACATTTAAGAATCGATGGCATTCCCAATCCAAATAAAATTTTTACCAGGAGCACCTTCAGTTGTGCCAAGAACAACTCATCCCTTAGTTCAATGCATCATAGACAACAAGCTGAAAAAGTTGCAGAGACTACTCAGAGGATGTGATATTAATGAACTCTATCCTTCTGCACTCTGTGATGATGATCTTACGCTGCTGTCAGCTGCAGTTGTATGTGCAAATGAAGAGATTTGTAACTTTCTCCTGAGAGAGCAGGCAGACCCTAATAAAATTTCAGCAAATGCACTAGCACCACTGCACTATGCTGCACTTACACAAGGAGTTCCACTCAGTATAGTGAAAAGATTACTTGCAGCTAAAGCCAATCCAGATGGCCATCAAACACAAATTTATACACCATTACAGTTTGCTGTTAAAAATAACAGAGAGGACATGGTCAAAGCACTTATAGATGCTGGCGCTTACATCGAAAGAAATTACAGACTACACCCAGATATCGATAAGAAACTAGAGACTATTATTCATCAGTTACCTTCGGGGAGTGAAGCTTTTGAGAAATGCAGGCTCTTTTTTAATTTGACTACATTAGTTTCTAAGAAAACTCAGGTAGAGGTTTTCAACCTCTTCAAGGAAAAATTTCTCGAGGAACATCCATTCAGCCATATTACCCTACTTGAAAATTATTTTAATGTCATGGGTCCAGGTGCTGAACAGTTTCAACTGAGTTGCATCAAGTGGCTGAAGGACTCCAAGAACAGTGACAATTACATTGAGGGGTTCATCCAACGCTTTCCCAGAATACCTCATGAGTATCAGATAATTGCACTGAACACCTTGCAGGCTGTAATTTTCATGATGAAAGAAATATCTCACCAAGTATTTGACGAGATTGTACCTATTCTGATCAAAAGTGTACAACCTGCTGGCTCCCCTCAGGGAGAAGTATTCAATCAGCTGATACTAAACATACTTTGTGTGACTATGGAGAAGTCCTTAAAGCACAACGCTGGTGCTGATGGTCTTGACGTTTCTGTTCTTCAAAACTTATGCAGGGGTCTTTTACCTCTCACTAGTCCTAAGTATTCACCCGATGTCAGCATTCTTACTTACCGCTTGTTTGCTGATCTTTATGAGTTCATCCCAGAACATATTCATTCATGTGGATTACTCTCAGTGCCTGATAGGGTACTTGATGCTGCAGAGATAAGGATGGATGATGTCATTAAGGACAAGTTGCACAAACTGGACACAGATCTCAAACATCCACAAAGCTCAAGTGCTTTAGATAATTTATGTGAAGGAGTGGAGGACATGCTGCCAAAGAACAGGAAAAAGAAGAAGAAGAAAAAGAAGAAGAAGAAAGAAGTCCAGCAGGGGATGACATCAAAAGAAGATGAGGGACAAGAAATGAAAGAGGGTACAGATTCAGATACAGTTGAGGAGTCAAATTCCAGTGTGCAGCCATTTACATCCACCACAGAGAATCCAACATTACCAAGAAGATGGCACCAACACAGTCAACGTTGGAGGCCAAAGCTGGAGAAACTTGCTAATATAGATGCAAGTAAAGTTTACAGACTGAGGAGTCTTACAATTGGTGTTGGCCCAGAGTTCCAGATAGCTAAAGGAAGTGATGGAACAGAGGTTTTTCTTGGTCTGAGGGATGATGGCACTGAGGTAGCTGTCAAACGAATGCTAAAGTCCAAATTATCAAGTCCTTAAAAATGAAGAGGAGTTTTTACGGCTTCCAGAACTCGACAATCCATCTATTGTGCAATATGTGGACTTTGCAGAAGATGAACATTTTGGTTATCTTGGCCTTAAACTTTGTGAATACACACTAGAAGAATACATCCAAGACCATCTGCCTGAAGACAGCAGTGAGCAGCTTGCTGTCCTGAAGAAAATTGTGAAGGAGGTGCTATGCAGCCTTGAAGTTCTTCACAGTGAAGATATCAAAGTGCTCCATCGGGACATCAAACCCCAGAATGTTCTGATTGGTAGGAGTTATTCTTGTTTATCAAAATGAAAACACTTGAATTCAGCCACTGAATCAATATTTTTGATGTAATAATCATTTTTTACAGATATAACTGGTAAGGCGAGATTAGCTGATTTTGGTATAAGCCGGAGGCTGAATTTAGGACAAACAACTTTGTGCACTAGTGCTGCTGGAACAAAGTGCTGGAAAGCCAGAGAGACCATTGAAGAGGACGATAACAGTGCATACAAGAGGAGTTCTGACATTCAGGTAATGTACTGAAACTGAAATAGAGAGTTAGATTTTTGAATGTAAAACTCATATAAGAATATATATAATAAGAATATAAATTGCCATTGCTGTTAACTAGAGGTCACAACTCTTATCCACAAAGGGCTGGTGTGGCTGAAGGTTTTCTTTTGAATGAAGCTGAAGTACACCTGGCTGCACTCGTTCAATCAGTTGGTTTCAGTCTTCAAACAGCTGATGAGTTATATCAGGTGTGCTTGGTTGGAATGTAAATGTGTGGCTACACCTGTGCTTTGTGGAGAAGATTGGTCGCACTGGCAGGTAACTGTTACACCTGTTTTAGGTTGCAGGAATGTTAGTGTATTACATCCTCTCTCGTGGACACCATCCTTTTGGTAAAGGGGCTCGTTGTGAAAGTAACATTCTTGATGGGAAATACTCACTGGAACATCTGGAAGATGACGTGGCAAAGGACCTGGTGGAGTGGATGATCAATGAAGATGTAAAGGACAGACCTAAAGTAAAGGAGGCCCTAGCTCATCCCTTCTTTTGGACAGATGAAAAGTAAGACATAATTCACACTTTTGATCTCCTAAATAAGTTGAATGTTTAAGTAGATTGTAGGGCCAGAAAAGATTTCTACCATGCGTTGGGAGGAGCTGCCCTACCCCAACTCCAAATGGACAGTTCAAAACTTGGTAGTACTCTTTTAGGGTGGGGGACGTTTTCCACAAATGGTCGCTTCTGATCAGAATTATGTTCGACGTTTTATGAAGCTGAAGTCGCTTCTCATTCTCCAGCTTCTCGTACAAATTGTCCCGTTTTGTTCGTGAGTTGTTGTAGAGTAAACGTATCAGGAAACCAGCTGAGTGATTATAAATGCAAATGAGTCCATTCATCTCCAAATTATCGATGTTCGTCTTAAATCTTTCTCTTTGCCTTTTCGTTATCTGCGTTGCTGTGTGACCAGCAGTCGGTCTTCAGCGTTAAAGGTTGGTGAATTAGCAGTTATACATTAACCCCAGCGTTTAAGACCATTTATTGTGAAAATTGTGTTAGAACTGTGTGTTATAAAGATTTTACAGCAAAGGAGGATTATGTTATTTTACCTAAAAATCTAGTTCTGCTGTGGAGCCGCGACAGCTCTGCAGCAGTGGAGAGATTATTCAGGCCTGATTCTCACCCCAAACAGAGCCAGGGTCACTGATGAGGATTTTGAGGCTGAAGTGTTGCTGAAGTTTAACAAAGGACTCTGAATGTCATGTCTGTACATATCTGGCTGAAATGTTTACATTGGAGCAGTTTTATTTCCAATATTGGCAGTGCTTTGCATAACGTTGTTTGGTTTATATTTGGTTATTTTTGTTGATTTTTGTAAGGAAAAACCTGGAATGATTAACTTTGCCTTTAGTCTAATTTTTTGTTGGATATCACACCTTTGGTTGTGTAAGTTTGATTGCCAGAACTTAAACTCACTTTTCGGTGATCTTTTTGTATATTTGCAGCTTTTTAATTTGTATGTTTCTTTCTGGCACATGATTAAATGCAGTGTCTTGTTCACACTGTCAGTTGGGCTTGTTGGTGTGTTAGGAGGAGATTCACAAACATTCTGACAATCACGCTATTAAAGTAGCTAAAAAGTAGTGCACTACTTTGCAAAAAGTAGCTAAAAAGTAGCCTCTACTTTTTCTGGAAAAGTAGCTAAATTGTAGCTAGCTACATATTTTGGGAAAGTAGCTACAAAGTAGCTAACTACAAATGTTTCAGCAGCTATCCCAACCCTGCTTATAAGTCAAGGCAATTTTTTCAGTTTTCAAAGTAGATGAATGTAACGTCATTTTACTAGCTAGTATTGAAATATGCTGCCCGTCACTGCATAAAATGATAGAAACAGACAGCTTGGGCTGACAGAGGAAAGGAGATTTTTACACTACATCCTACATCCTTCAGCTCTCAGTGTGCGCACTCTTTGAGTTTGCTTGGGCTTCTGCATCATGGCTGTGCTGTTGTTGCTCATAGACGCTTCCATTTCACAATAATATCACTTACAGCTGACCAGAGAAGATCTAGCAGGGCAGAAAGTTCATGACCTGAATTGTGAAAGTTGGCATCCTATGACAGTGCCATGTTTAAAGTCACTGAGCTCTTCAGTATGACTGGAATGTGGCTAAAACACAAGAACTAGGAGGGATGTCTACATACTTTTGTCCATGTAGTATATAGACTTTAAAGTTGGAGTAGCATCATGGAGCAGCTTCAGAGTGTCTGGCAGTATGTTTTTCAGACAAGAGGGGACGTTATGCATTCTAGTTAAGTCAATGAGATTATGCTGACTATAAATGGACTAGTCTTTTCATCCAACTTGTGTAAACATCTAAGTTCCATAAACATAGAACTGGGAAAAAGCAAATCTATATTGTATTTTGCTGTGTTGCTTTCACATTTTCTTAGGAGAGTGGAGTACTTACAGAAACTGGGGAATGTGAAGGAGGTGCAGTACTATCTCAGTCCTGATGAGGAGCTCCTTCATGCCATAGAAGAAATGGCCATGGGGAAGACCTTCTCAGAGTGGAAAACAAAAGTAGGTTTGACCAGAACCCAGAGAGAGTTTCTTTATAAACACTGACTTACATTCTCATAAGCACAGTGCAACATAAATCTCACATGTTCTAGTGAGACAGTTTTTATTCTGAAGGTCTGGAGGAAATTAAGAGATTTCAACATGGGTTCCAATAGTATTCCTAAGTACATGCCTGTTTCAATACTAGTTTTAACAAGGCCTCCACTTGGTCTCATCATTTCCCCTCAAGGGAATCTCCAACATCATCTTAAGTTCTGTTCCATTTCTTTTTTTTTTTAACTCAAATTAAGTGTCTTAGGTCATCTGCCCTTGGAGGGGCAACAGATCAAGCATACACAAGTGTTGACTTCAGCAGTAGAAATCATGGCAACCTGGACTAATTCCCTTTTTAACCAGAACAAATTGGTGGACAAAGCTGTTTATAAGCTATAGCAGTAAACTACTTTAAAATGCATAACATTTCAAAACAATAACATTCGATTTGCTGGGCTTTAGGATAGAAACTACTTTATCTCATATACATGATTGCTTTACAACAACAAAAAAGAAAAGCAATACACCATGACTTTAAACCAAAGCTCATAGAGAGACAAAGCAAATTTCTTATATATTCTGTTGAAACTTTTTTGCATTGCGAAGTTTACATAGCTAGCTAGGTTAATTAAGCCAAGGGTGAGTGCATACTGTTTGAAAAATCTTGCCCTTTTGTTGTGAGTGGCCACTTCTAATGTAGGTGACACACATCTGTGTGGTGAGTCAAAGTTGATGATGGCCTGTGAAAAAAGTATTGAAACAATACCATAGTTTTTTAAATAAATTCTTGTTTGTATGTGTTTTTCCACAGTTGCCTGCTGAAATTGTGCAAAACGTAGATAGTAAGAAAAAGCCCTACCCAGAGAACTTACTTGGCCTGTTGCGATTCATACGGAATCTGTATGAACACTAGTGAGTTCCATTTATAGATATACATACATTATAAAAGTGTATTAAATTGTTGTGTCAGATCACATATAATTGATTCCTTTCTGTGTGTGTAGCTCTGATGATGCAGAAAAAATAAACCTGATGACCATATTCCCTGACCTTTTTGGAAATGCTTTCAAGTTTGCCAAAGTGAGAGGATGGAACTCTACACCAATTCTGAGAAAATGGCTCAGATCTGTACCGGTGATATGATGACTGAACAACATGAACTAAAGGTTAAAGGATGTGACCTCATCCGTTTTTGGTTTTCACCACTGTTATGATATCAGCATTATAAAACAATTATTCAAATCTGTAATAAGAAAAGGTGGTTTTTATGTGATTTTATCACTTCCCAATACTTTTGTACATAAAAGTAAGGTGGATTCTGGGGTTCTGGGCCATCAGGTGATCTGAGACACTTCAAGAGCTTCCAATTCCACCATCAGCATCATCAACTAATCTTTTAAAATATGTGAACAGAAATACAGTAAACAGATTAATTAAAGTGACAAAAGTCATTTTCAAGGGGAACTTGAACAAAATAATGGTTTCATCAATCAGGGCCTGCAAGTATAGTACATACATGATCTCATGTTCCATAAAACCTGAATCCACCCTAATGTCAAAATTTGAAACATACAGGCTTTGTTTCTGTCCTGTGTTCCTGTCAGAGCTGATGTTTACTAATGTGTCATATTTTATCACTTTAGATTTTTTGGGAATGTTTTTCTCATGAACACAGTTCAACATCTGTTTGCATCTAAGATTTTTGTCGGTGAACACCACTTTTAATGAACACCACTCTATTAACCTTATTTTAACAAACACATTGTTATCTTAACTAAACTCTCATTTTACTCAAAGCAATTTAACGCTGATTTGTCAGCTTTATTTCTCTCTTAGCCTGTCTATTTTTTCTCTGAGGTTCACTTATCATTTATGTGCTTTAATTTACCTAAAACTACTGTAATTCATTTTCCCGTTTACCAACACTTAGAATTAAACTAAGGGAGGCAATTCCAGCCAAAAACTTCAGACTCATCCTGACTTCTGTGCTGGTTTGGATTGGCTCATGGTCTGGAGCAGTCCTTCATTTGAGAAGGGTCTCAGAGCCACAGATTTACACCCACAGTTTCACTCCAGCGGTTTCAGGCCAGTGGAACGCATGTGCAGAAGGACACAGTGATTGGGTCGAGTAAACAAAGTCCTTATAGGAAAGTTGAGCGTTACGAGTGTTCCCATTCATATTTCAACCAGTGGCTGCTCTCCTTATTTATAATGTCTCTAATGTAAACAGCACCTGTTTGTGCTAGTTGTGTGTGTCACCATGCATATTACCATTCAGGAAGAGATCCCGTTTCCAATATACGAATCAACTATTAACCGGTTAAACCATAAGCCAAAATACATTACAAAATCAGAAACCAAAAAAACACTTCATCATTTGTAAGGATTTTTTCAGCAGGGAAACTTTTAAAAACTAAGGTTTTTTAAAGCCCCCATATTAAGGGTAACTGCTATATGTCTACATAACTCATTAGTTTACCCAAGCCACATAAACTGTAATTCGTGTAATATTAGCGCTGTGAATCTCTATATGCGTTTAAACCAAAGTTTGTTTAGTCTAAAGCTTAAAATGTAACGCTATAGCCCAACGCAAAAGTATCACAAATTTATTGGAAACCCACATAAAACGACTGGAATGTTGATTAGCCTAAAACACGCTAGGAAAAAACAGAACACTTTCTGAAGTGCAATTTCTGCATTGGAAGTCGAGATTAGTGATGGAAAGATTAAGAAGCATTATGTGTCAACTTATAAAACGGATAGTTCTAAAATCTGATTGGCTGAGCCGCGTTCGAAGCCGCTGTAAAATCCACGATATAGGCATGCCTATGACCACCTCACAGCGACTGAACTCTGTCCAGAATTATACTATTTCAAGAATACTGCACTCAGAAAGTGGGATAGGAGTATATGACGGAGGGAACGCAGTAATCCACTCTCATGTTTGTGTGATGGGTATTGTTTGTGTGATGTTTATGTCTAGATAAGGCCGTGTGGTTGGTGATGCACTGAGAACCTGTTGATGTGATTGTTTTTCCTCTGATTTTATATTAAACTTATTTCATTTAATAGTCCTTACACTCCTTAATCCGTGTATTCATAATAGATTAGCACATCATTACACAAACCTGAAGTTAGGTTATTATTTGCCAGCTTGTTGTTCGAATTTTCCTGTTCCACCTTAAATGGTGCATCAGCCAGCTTGTTGTTCGAATTTTCCCGTTCCACCTTAAATAGTGCCGCTTTAGGCACCAGAAAGTATACAAAGATTAGAAGTCACACATTTTTCTCGAGCTCGAGCTAAACTCAAATTCAGGTGCAGACGGAATACTTTCCTGCTGGTCCGCACGGATAATTAGCACGATCAGTTTATTAAAGACATAAAAGCTACCGAGAGCAGTCCGTGCAACCTAGATTAATCTACGTCTGAGGATTATAACAAAACAAATTTGGTGAAAATCAGTTGAGTAATAAGGAAGTTGTGGCCGATTTAATCCTGAGACTCATCTCTCAATACAATTGAATTTGTTCACAAGCAGATCTTGACCGCTGCAACATGGTCTGTATATCCATGGTACTGACGAAGTATGAACCCGATTTTTGTTTAAACTGAGCTGCTAGCACCTTTTTTTATTAACTAGCACTAGGATAGTCAGCTAGCTAACAGCCTAAACAACATCATTATTATCACAGACTTGAATTAAAAGTGCTTATGATGTGATTCACTGTAGAAAGGCAATATAAAACACTAAAGAATGTCTCTTCAATGACATACACTCTTAAAATGTTTCAGTCAGAAGAAACCCAGGCTGAATCCCTGAATATATCATTCATTGTGGGGTGGAGGAACCGGTATTTAATTTCCTAAGTAGTGCATTATGTAGGGAGCAGGGAGCTATCAGCCCCAGCACAAGAAGAGGGGTGCCGTTGAATTGGTGCAAAACACCACTCGGTGGTAATTTGGTGACCAAAAAGTACTTATAAAGCAAAAGGTTTTGCATTAAACAGTGTCATTTCATCATGTGTTCATTGTTATAGGACAAAAAGTTCATGAAATGACTGCAACATACAGCGATGGGCGACGGAACCTTCTTTTCCTCTTTCAACGGTCAATGGTTGCTTGGCAACATCACCATTCTAAAGGAACTACATTTATTGGCGGAATACTTGTTTATGTCGATTATTATTAATAATAGATTATTTTCTGAAAAAACTGTATTTTATCATAGTTTATGTTGGCTGCCATTTTATAAAAGCAATATGCCAGTTTAGACTGCGATTTTATCATGGGGAAGGGAGTAAGAACACCCTTCCCGCGATAAAATCACAGTAATGCACGGCCTCTCGTGGCTTGTATCTTCATACAATGTACTCGTATCAAGTAGCCCACAGTTTTGTCACAGTTTTGGAAGTGTACTGTATGAAAATCTAGTCTAATACAATTCCGTTCTGTCGCGCTCAAATTTGTATTTCACATTCTGGGTTTTCTGACTTTGCATACTAGACTAAAACTACTCTGATCAGACTGGTGGACAGACAAAACCGATATCGACTCACGTGAGAAACGGGCCAGTCAGAAAGTCACTCTAACTGAATTAATGAAAAGTTCTGTGGTGTAAAAATCAGACCATCGCTCGCTCCGAGTGTAGAAAAAAACATTGAAGTTGTGGCGTCTGGAGTGTAACTTAACCTACTTAACTTATTTAAAATATACATTTTAAGTTAGATACGTTTGCTCCTCGACCTCATTGTAAGATCATCACAGAACGCAAACTGGATAAACTGCTGTCGTCATTAAACGTTAGAGATGTATGGTTAGCGGTGAACTTATACAGTTTGGAGGCTGTGTTATACAGTTTACTCTAGAGGTTGACACGTGTTCTAAAGCTCAGTAGGAACATTCATGGATGCACTGGTGGGATTATTAATGTTAAGAAATTACATTAGGCCTGTTGTTACCTGCCTTTCACAGGCGCACAGAACAGGATTTTAGAGGCACACCCCAAAGCGGCCAGCAGCTTCGAGGCACGTTTCAGTTCACTTCAGTGAATATCCACCCATCAACAAGGGCAACCTGACCACTGAAAGAGCTCAACCATAGAAACATTTAGTAGAAATAATTTAGCTTTCTGTAATTTCAAAACATAGTGAAATGTTCAAAGTTATCTGATCTATCTATCTATCTATCTATCTATCTATCTATCTATCTATCTATCTATCTATCGTCACAAGGCTCATATAACAGAAGATTAGCCTTGTAGCTCCAATTCAAAACTAAGGAAGCAAATGAATCTTCAGACACCAAACGTTGATTCACTGCAGAAAGAAGTGTGCAAATTTGATTTTTTTTTTGGTGAAACAGTGCTTTAAGAAAAGACTTTGCTGAATATTTACTAATATTTTGGGTAGGTGTGAAGTCAGGTAAATTGGACCACGAAATGGACAGATCAGGAGGAACGTCTTATGGCTATATATTTGCATAGCCATTTTGCTGCAAATAATTTCATTACTGTTGCCCTTTTTGAGGTGTTGCAACTGATTTGAATAATCTGAGCATGCTAAGGTGGATGCAGCATTGTCTTTTTTTAGGCTGGTGATGAGACCTGCATGGTGAATGACTTAGCATGCTATTTTTCCCCTCAATGATAATGGCATAAGAAATAAATTAATATCAAGGAACAATATTTCAGGATAATTTTCGTTATAGCATCTATAATAAAAGTGCTGAGGTTTGCCAAACATAGTTTTATTGATGTAATGCACAGAAACTGCTTCATGATGTTTTGGTGGTTTTCCAGAAGAACGAATGTGCAGCAACCAATCTTAAATCACCTCATAACTTTAGGTTCATACCGATAGACTGATTTGAGCTGATCCACTGTCAGTAGTTTGAGGTTTTCTAAATAACTCCTGATGAAACTATAGGCTACGATATAGAAATATGTCTATACTTCCGTTATGTGCACTTTATTTATACTGAAATGATGCACTAATCATAATTGAAATAAAATGAATAAAATAATAAATTCAGTTTTGTTCATTTTAGGATATTAGCCTTAAATATTAAAAAAAACAATGTTTTGCTGTAGTGAATCGATCCTTGATTCATTCACTGATTTAAAAAAATTTAAAAACAAAAATAAACTTAAGCAGCCCAGCATGTGACTACTTTGGAAACTGACTGAAAAGAACACACCTGGGTTTCTGTTGTTTCCAGCCAATACCAATCACTTCAAGTTGTGGGCTTCATAATTATTGGTTCCCTTGGTGTAGATAAGTAAAAGGTAATGAAAAACGTCTCTGTGGTATAGGCCCTTATTAATTATAGATACACATAAACATGTGTCACAGATATTATGAGCAAAATGTAACTGAGGCATATTTATATTTCACCAGTCCACCTGACTGCTCAGAAATTCTTAAGCACTCATCTATAACTTTCTGATTCATTTGGGTATAAATATGAGGTGCGTAGAGGCCAAATTCCCTTATTCATTCATTTCCATGGGGAAGATTAGAGAATACACAAATAAAATGAGATAAACTGTGTTGACCTTCATAAATAGGGAAAGGCTATAAAAAATAAATAGCTACACACTTGAGTATGTCCATATGCATTATTAGGGAATTAACCCTATCAAATCAAGCATATTACTGGTGATCCTTTTTGAGAAATTAGTGATGGCCCTTAAACCTGTTTAAATCTGGCAAGTTATGGCACTGCATGTTTTTTTTTTACTCATGATTGGATCAAAGTTGGAGATTTGCAGAAGATAGTATCATTTTGATGTCATCAAAACTACAATTAGATGCCACCTCTGTGCCAGCAGACTTTTCAGAAGGTATGCCAGAAGAAAGTCTAATCACAAATGTTGGCAGCTGGAGTTCACTAGACGTTACTGGAACTTTGACTTCTATGGACTAATGAGACAAAAACACAGCATGATCAAGTATGATTCATCACTACAGAGAACACGTTTCCATCATTCCCTAGACCAGCTGTTCGGCCATGGAAACCCAGTTCATGAAGCTCCCAACGCACAGTTCTTGTGCTGAAATTTTCTCCAGAGGCTGTTTGGATTCTGTAGTCAGTGATGCAACAGAGGATAGGAGATTTTTACGCACTACGACCCTCAGCGGCCCCACTTAGAAGGGGTTTCTGCTTATTTTTGGCCATATAGTGTATTCTCAATGTGAGATGGAGCTAAATAAACACAAAGACATTTTTAAAGGGTTTCAAATGCCTTAAGCAAAACTTTGCCATCGATACAGAGTTTAAAAAGAAGCTAATTTAGAATGAATAAATTAGAATAATATGCTCAGGCTTGTTTTTTTCCTGGTGGGCACACACGCTGCAACATTCAGAACTAGTCGGAGCCTTTTTTGAGAGACACTGGGGCAACCAGCCAGTATCATGTTACAGTAGTCTAATCTAGAAGTTATGAGCTAATTTCTCAGCATTTTGTAGGGTTAGCACTTCATTTGGAAAACTTCATATTCAGTATATATTTTAAGTTATAAAATGCAGTCTTACAGATATTAGTTTTAGGGGCTCATATGATAACCTAGCATTCAGGGTTACATCGAAGTCCTCGATTGTAGCTAAAAACAAGTAAGGTAAATTCTAGAATCACTTTAGTTCACTGCCTTGAACACCACAACTAACAAAAAGAGAACATTTCTGAGGTGAACTACTACAGTGCTGAGGGGGAACTCCACATTTATTTCTCAAGATTGTTTTTGAAAATTCAGTGATAACAGCGTACAGGATGGTACAGATGCCAGTGAAATAGTATTTATTTTTGAGCTGAGTATTTTTTAAAACTGTCCTACTGTTTTGTCCCACGTTTACTTTCTGTGTGGTAAAACTTAACTCTCCTGCCCTCTTTGTTGATTAGTTACCTCGTGAAAAGTGGCACATGACGAGCAGAGCTTTACCATGGAAGTTGAAGATTTTTAACTCATCCACGAGGATCTGCGGCGGAAAAAAAGGGCCACAGAATCCATGTCATGCTTAAGACATTATGCTGTTTTGGGCAGAATACACTCCGTCTGAATGCTGTTTTAAAACACATGGAGTGATGAACACCTTTCTGATACATTTGAAAAGATTCAATTAAAATGAACTAAAACATGACCTCAAACACTGCTCCACTTAACTAAAGCATGTGAAGACACTTAAACATAATGAACACCTAAAAAGTTTGAGTGCTGATATCACTAGAGGATACCAAAGCATTGCATTGACCCCAAGATATTCAGGCTGTTGCTTAACTGATTAATAGTTTCAAAGTTTATAAGTTATGGCATATAGTATAAACTAAGGTATAAATTGACCTTGTGACCTGATGGTGTTATCTCTGTACTGAAGTTTTACATTTTGCACATGATATCATCTTTCAATTACATTTTTTCTCTCTCTTTTCCAGCCATTTCTTTTGTAGGAGTGTGCAGGATCTTGTTGAACTGATAAATCTGAAACATATGAATATAAAGTGCTAAGCTGGATGCTCCAGTTTATCTGACATTAAACAGTCAATGGCAATACAAATACAATGGAAAGCAGTTACAGTACCAATTCCAGTTCCAGTTGCAGAGCCAAGGACCACAAACCCCATAATACAATGCGTCATTAACAAAAACCTGAAAAAGTTAAAGAAAAAAATCAGAGGGTGAGATATTAATGGACTCTATTCTTCTGCACACTTAAAAGATGACGTTACGCTGCTGTCGGCTGCAGTTGTATATGCAAATGAAGAGATTTGTAACTTTCCACTGTGAGAGCAGGCAGACCCTAATATGTTCTCAACAAATGGGCTAGCACCACTGCACTATGCTGCATGTGCACAAGGAGTTCCACTCAGTATATTGAAAAGATTACTTGCAGCTAAAGCCAATCCAGACGGCCATCAAACACAATTTTTTACACCATTGCAACTGGCTGCTATTAATAACAGAGATGACATGGTCAAAGCACTTATAGTAGCTGGTGCTTATACTGAAAGGAATTTTGGAGTAAGCCCAGACATCGATAAGAAACTAGAGACTATTATGCATCGGTTATCTTCACAGAATGAAACTGCTAAGAAACGCAAAATCTTTTTTGATTTCACTTCTGTGGTTCCCACAAAATCTCACTTAGAAGTTTTCAACTTCTGCAAGGAGCACTTCCTCGAGGAACATCCTAATGTCCATGTTACACTGTTTGAAAGATCTTTTAATGTCATGGGTCCAGGTGCTGAACAATATCAATTAAGTAGCATCAAGTGGCTGAAGGACTCCAAGAATACTGACACTTATATTGAGGGGTTCATCCAACGCTTTCCCAGAATACCTCATGAGTATCAGATAATTGCACTGAACACCTTGCAGGCTGTAATTTTCATGATGAAAGAAATATCTCACCAAGTATTTGACGAGATTGTACCTATTCTGATCAAAAGTGTACAACCTGCTGGCTCCCCTCAGGGAGAAGTATTCAATCAGCTGATACTAAACATACTTTGTGTGACTATAGAGAAGTCCTCAAAGCACAACGCTGGTGCTGATGGTCTTGACGTTTCTGTTCTTCAGAACTTATGCTCTGGTCTTTTACCTCTCACTAGTCCTAAGTATTCACCCGATGTCAGCATTCTTACTTACCGCTTGTTTGCTGATCTTTATGAGTTCATCCCAGAACATATTCATTCATGTGGATTACTCTCAGTGCCTGATAGGGTACTTGATGCTGCAGAGATAAGGATGGATGATGTTATTAAGGAGAAGCTGCACAAACTGGACACAGATCTCAGACATCCACAAAGTTCAGATGCCTCAGATAGTTTATGTGAGGGAGCAGAGAACATGCTGTCAAAGAAGAAGAAGAAGAAGAAGAAGAAAAAGAAGAAGAAGAAAGAGGCCCAGCAGGAGATGACATCAAAAGAAGATGAGGGACAAGAAATGAAAGAGTGTGCAAATTCAGATACAGCCACGACTTCAGTCAAATTCCAGCGTGCAGCCATTTTCATCTACTACAGACAATTTAACTTTACCAAAAAGATGGCGCCAACACAGCCAACGTTGGAGGCCCCAGTTGGAAAAACTTGCTAACATAGATGCAAGTAAAGTTTATAGACTGGGGAGTCTTACAATTGGTGTTGGCCCAGAGTTCCAGATAGCTAAAGGAAGTGATGGAACAGAGGTTTTTCTTGGTCTGAGGGATGATGGCACTGAGGTAGCTGTCAAACGAATGCTTAAGTCCAATTATCAAGCCCTCAAAAACGAAGAGGAGTTTTTACGGCTTCCAGAACTCGACAATCCTTCTATTGTGCGATATGTGGATTTTGCAGAAGACAAAATTTTTGGATATCTTGTTCTTCAACTTTGTGAATACACACTAGAAGAATACATCCAAGACCATCTGCCAGAAGACAGCAGTGAGCAGCTTGCTGTCCTGAAGAAAACTGCAAAGGAGGTGCTATGCAGCCTTGAAGTTCTTTACAGTGAAGATATCAAAGTGCTCCATTGGGACATCAAACCCCAGAATGTTCTGATTGGTAGGAGTTCTTCTTGTTGCTCTTTAATTTGTTTGTCAAAATGAAAACACTTGAATTCAGCCACTCAATCAATATTTTTGATGTAATAATCATTTTTTACAGATATAACTGGTAAGGCGAGATTAGCTGATTTTGGTATAAGCCGGAGGCTGAATTTAGGACAAACAACTTTGCACACTAGTGCTGCTGGAACAAAGTGCTGGAAAGCCAGAGAGACCATTGAAGAGGACGATAACAGTGCATACAAGAGGAGTTCTGACATTCAGGTAATGTACTGAAACTGAAATAGAGAGTTAGATTTTTGAATGTAAAACTCATATAAGAATATATATAATAAGAATATAAATTGCCATTGCTGTTAACTAGAGGTCACAACTCTTATCCACAAAGGGCTGGTGTGGCTGAAGGTTTTCTTTTGAATGAAGCTGAAGTACACCTGGCTCCACTCGTTCAATCAGTTGGTTTCAGTGTTCAAACAGCTGATGAGTTATATCAGGTGTGCTTGGTTGGAATGTAAATGTGTGGCTACACCTGTGCTTTGTGGAGAAGATTGGTCGCACTGGCAGGTAACTGTTACACCTGTTTTAGGTTGCAGGAATGTTAGTGTATTACATCCTCTCTCGTGGACACCATCCTTTTGGTAAAGGGGCTCGTTGTGAAATTAACATTCTTGATGGGAAATACTCACTGGAACATCTGCAAGATGATGTGGCAAAGGACCTGGTGGAGTGGATGATCAATGAAGATGTAAAGGACAGACCTAAAGTAAAGGAGGCCCTCGCTCATCCCTTCTTTTGGACAGATGAAAAATAAGATGTAATTTAAACTTTTGATCTCTTTTCAATGTTTAAGTAGATTGTAGGGCCAGAAAAGCTTTCTACCATGCATTAGGAGGAGCTCCCAACTCCAAATGGACAGTTCTTATCAAATCTCAGGTAGTATTCTCAATGTGGCTTCTTTACAATATTTTCTGTATAGCCTCATCATATTATTCACTCAATTGTAACATCTAAATAAGTTGATTATGTACTGGTAAGAAACCCATCAGTGTTACCTTAAACCACTGTGAAGATTAACGTACTGAACAGCGTTGCTTAATATACTGTATTAATAACTAAATTAAATATGCTATATTAATAAGTATAATTAAATATAAAATGCAAGACTCTAAAAGCTCTCCCACTTTAATGTTAAGTTTTTTGTAGTCCTTTAAATACAGGTTGGTGTGAGATGTTATCTGATTTACTCTAGGTTTAGAGGAACAGGCGTGTCTGATCCTAGTGATATGCTGAATATAAATCATTGGATTTATAGATTTGACAGTATTTTTTTAAATGTGATGCCATTTTGTTCCAAATATTCAAATGTCAGAAAAAATAAATAGTGTGCTATATCCGTAAAACATCAAGTGTTGTGATATTACATTTTTGTCATGTTGCCCAGCTGTTGGGCACCTCTGGTTCAAAATATCTTCGATCCTTGCCATGACTTGGTAGCTTCAGCTGTTTCTTGTCAGCTCATCAAGACCTGCAAGTCCAGTAGACTGAAATTTTGGCTCTGTTTTTTTTTTTATCTTTCTTTTTGTCTGCACTTTTGAGCACCTAGAGTATTGTGCTAATGTCAGAGACCACCATTCATTTACTTTATTTTCAAAACAACCTTAAAGTACAAGTTATTCATTTTTCAAGAGCTATTTCTGACAAGATTAGATATAAGATAATCCACTTGCATAGGAAGGGAAACGAGAAGTGAAAAATAAGTAAACAAAACAAAATAAAACAAAACAAAACAAAAAAACAAAAAAGAAAACAAAACAGAATTTCAAAAGACTGAACTTTGGAGGCATGAAGAATATCCCTGCAGATTTCTTTGAAAAACTGAAAGCAAGTCTCCCAAAAAGATTGGAAGCTGTGATAAAGACAAAATTGGACACACTAAATACTGAAAAATATTACATCATATTTATTTGCTGAGGATTTTGTCATTTTCTGTTTCATGAAATTTCATAAACTGAACTGTGACAAAGTTGGCATCCTATGACAGTGCCACATCTAAAGTCACTGAGCTCTTCAATATGACATCCTCATGTTTGTCTATGGAAATTGCATGGCTCTGTGCTTGAATTTAGCAATTGGTGTGGCTGAAACACCAGAAGTAAATACTTAGGAGGGGTGTCTAAATACTTTGTCCATATGGTATATATGGTCAAATAGTATATAGTATAGTATATAGTAGGAGTAGCATCTTGTGAGCTTCAGAATGTCTGGCAGTATGCTTTTAAGACAGGAGGGGGCATTTTGTGTTCTAGTTAAATCTATGAGACTATGTTAACTATAAATGGACTAGTCTTTTCATCCAACTTGTGTAGACATCTTGTTTCCATATACTGGTTTCTTAGACCAACATAGAACTGCCAAATAGAAAATCTATATTGGCATATCGCCTTTTACGTTTTCTACATTTTCCTAGAAGAGTGAAGTACTTACAGAACTATCTCAATCCTGATGAGGAGCTCCTTCATGCCATAGAAAAATGGCCATGGGAAAGACCTTCTCAGAATGGAAAACAAAAGTAGATTTGATCAGAACCCAGAGAGAGTTTCTTTTCAGCACTAACTCACATTCTCATAAACACAATGCAACATAAATCTCACACATGTCCTAGCAACACAGTTTTTATTCTGAAGGTCTGGAGGAAATAGTTATATTTTTAAGAGAGTTCAACATGGGATCCAATAGTATTCATTCACTGTTTCAATACTAGTTTTAACAAGCCCTCCACTCAGCCTTGACATTTCCCCTCGAGGGAATCTCCAACACCATCTTAAGGTCTGTTCCATTACTTTTTAGCTCAAATTAAGTGTGCTAGATGAGCCCATGGAGGGGCAACAGATCAAGCGTACACAAGTGTTGACTTCGGCAGTAAAAAACATCGCACATTGGACCAATTCCCTTTTTAACCAGAACAAATTGGTGGACAAAGCTGTTTATAAGCTACAGCAGTAAACTACTTTAAAATGCATAACATTTCAAAACAAAAACATTTGATTTGTTTGGCTTTAGGATACAAACCACTCCATTGTTTATAAATTACTGCTTAACAAAAACAAAAAGCAAGGCAATACACCATGAATTTAAACCAAAGCTCATATACAGACAAAATATATTATATTCAAACTTTAAAAAAATGTTCAAAGCTATGTTCAAGCTTTTTTGCATTGCAAAGTTTACATAGCTAGCTGATTTGTTTTTCAATAAATGCTTGTTTATAAATGTTTTTCCACAGTTGCCTGCTGAAATTGTTGAACTTGCTTGGCCTACTGCGATTCATACAGCATCTGTATGAACACTAGTGAGTTCCATTTATAGATATACATACATTATTAAAGTGTATTAAATTGTTGTGTCAGATCACATATAATTGATTCCTTTCTGTGTGTGTAGCTCTGATGATGCAGAAAAAGTAAACCTGATGACCATATTCCCTGACCTTTTTGGAAATGCTTTCAAGTTTGCCAAAGTGAGAGGATGGAACTCTACACCAAGTCTGAGAAAATGGCTCAGATCTGTACCGGTGATATGATGACTGAACAACATGAATTAAAGGTTAAATGATGTGACCTCATCAGTTTTTGGTTTTCACCAGCATTATGATATCAGCATTATAAAACAATTATTCAAATCTGTAATGAGATAAAGTGATTTGAAGTGGAAGTAAGCACTTTTATGTATTTTCATCACTTCCCAATACTTTTGTATTTAAAAGTAAAGTGGATTCTGGGGTTCTGGGCCATCAGGTGATCTGAAACACTTTAAGAGCTTCCAATTCCACCATCAGCATCATCAACTAATCTTTTTAAATATGTAAAAAGAAATAATGTAAACAGATTAATTAAAGTGACAGAAGTAATTTTAAGGGAAACTCCTTTCTTTCACTGTTGTTACTTGGGAATGCACTAATAGTAAAATATGACTGTTTGAGCGCTGTAACACACAGACCACTTCAGCTGTAATTGTGAGGAGCACACATGATTAGGATATGATGTTATGATATGTGATGCTAGGATAGGAGTTTGCTCTGGGCCAGTACAGTTACATGCCACTTATCTTGTCACTCACGCTTGGTCACAAGAAAACACCACCACCACCACCAATCGCTCCACTCAAACAGGAAAGGTATAAAGCTATGTTTCAGATGTTAACGTCTAAGTATATTTGGAGACCCATTTTAGTCCCTGCCCCCTCCCTCATCGAACCATGTCGAAAAACTTGGAAGTGCATCCCCTCGTGGTGACAGCGTAGTAGTGTCGCTTCTCTTGCAGTGGAAAATGCCACCAGAGCTGTTGCTAAAACGTGGAAGTGTGAAAATGGTCTATTTTATCTAACATTTATCGAACATTTCATTGATTTCTATGGAGGCAAGTTATATCACGATAATTATTGTTATTGTTTTATCGCCCAGCCCTATTTATCAGTTTATGTTATGTGGGAATGTTGTTCTCATGAACACAGTGCAACATCAGTTAGCATCTAAGATTTTTATCGATGAACCCCACTCTTGGTACACACCTAATTTTACCAAATAAACTTTTTCTTTACTCAAGGCAAATTAACTTTAATTTGTCAGCTTTATTTCTCTCTTACCTATTGTCTATTTTTTCTCTGAGGTCTTATGTACCACAAAACAATTATTATTCATTTTTACATGATTGTTTATTAAACAGGCCGTTTTTGTTTGTGCCTTTAAGGGAGAGATATGTAAATAATCTCTATTTTGTTTGACTGTATTTGTGCATCATTCAAAGGCAGTTCTTGGAACTTCAGACACAGCCCGCCTTCTGTGCTTGGACTGGCTCAGGTGGGTTGATTTAAGCCTGCTTTCATCATGCTACATCATTATTAGCAATTAAAGGTAGGTGTATATATACATATATATATATATATATATATACATATACACACACATATACATATATATATATATATACATATATATACATATATATATATATATATATTACAGATCAAATGAGTTATTTTGAGCCTGCATTCATATCTTTACATGATCACTATTAAAGTCATGTGTACACTTAACTCTGTTTTCACAAATCAGGTAAATGCCTAAAACAAGTGAATTTACAAGGTTTTGGTATTTTTTTGCATATGAAATGAAACTCCAAAGTCCAATTTGAACCTGGTGTCATGCATCTGGTTGGTCACCTTTGAAGTTATGAGCGTTAGACAATAAATCCCCTTAAGTGTATTATTGGCGGATTTTGGCGCGCGTGCGCACACATACACAAGCGCGCGCGCCAAAATCCGCCAATAAGCGCAGCTACTGCACGGCTTCGGGGAGAGCGGGGCGGGGGAAGAGTAGGAGAGAGAAGGTGGATCATAACATTTGTTTATCAGAGACAAACTTCCATTAAAAAAACAAAACAAAAACAAACAAACGAAAAAATACCCGACTTTTTACTCTTTTTTAGGGGTACTGGGACTCAATTTGGAAAGGGCTAGACACGGCTATGACCTGAACTATAATGACCTTTGGTAGAATTAATCTAGCTTTCTGTAATTACAATAGAAAGCGAAATGTTCAAAATAGTCCAAAGCAGCAGGAGGAGGGGTAGCACAAGAGTACCGCCCAGTATTTAAGCTCTAAATAGGAAGAGAAACGCGGTTTCGCTTTCCGCGCACTTCAAACCCTTGGGCTAAACTTTCCAACACGAAAATACCCAAAACTGTAAGTGCAGTTATTATTTTTAACAACAACGCATGACTTTTCAGTTACATCGTGGCTTATCGCAGGTACATTGTGCGGACTGGGTATCTATACTAAAACGACAGGTGTGCAGATTTAAGCCGAATAGGGCGGATAATACATTTTCGCTTTTCCTACCTTTTCTTAAAGTATTTTCTGAATTAGACTGATATTTTAGTACTAACTCGTGGTGTTGCGCGGTCATAGCGGTCAAAAGGAGGTAAGATAAATATCCACAAAACGAATTATCAATATGTTCATTTACTTTTCCAAAATCCTCCACGGAAAAAGAAGACTACAACAATATGCATTATACACAACCTTTATTCTTAAGTTGCTACGGTTCTAAGGTGCATTAAACTACTCGTGGATGTGGAATTATCCTTTCTTCTCTCCCCCGAGAGGCGGTTGGATGTCTGCATGCAGCTCGGTAAACTTGGGGTTGATATTGGATATTCAGCGGATATTCGCGTATAAACTCGCGTTTATATTTCGTCAAAGTACTCGATCTTTCCATTTCACCGAGTAGATATGATGAAAATAGGAAGAATCACTGCAGTAGGCGCCGAAAACGGTAAGGGACCGTCGGTAAAGTGCGGGTACTGATTAAAAACGTAAAACATTCAAAGACATGAGGAGCCTGTTGGTGTTATTTATAAAGACTTGAAACCTACTGAAATAGAAAGATGATGTGAAAATCAATAACTGAGACTAACAAGTATACATCTGACCTGATCTGACAAACATGCTACAACCTTTAGATTGATAAAATTTGCCTTAGTTGGACTGCAGAGATTATTTTTTATATGTAATTAATTGCTACTGTGAGACGTCCATGAGACATACACATCTAAAATGACTTGTAGTGTAGAGGTACCCATCCTGCAAAAACAATACAACCTTTAGTTTGATAACACACTCCTTTTTTTATTTTTTATGACATTTAAATTCCTAGTGTCTCGGCTGAATTTTAATGAATTTTTTATAGAAATAAATTACACAATGTCACAGCCATATGACTTACAGATCTAAAACGACTTGTAATGTACAGAGACACGCCTGACAAACATACTACAACCTTTAGTTTGGTGAAATATGCCTCGACTGAATTGTAATGAATTCTTTATAGAATTAAATTACTACTGTGTCACATCCATATGACTTACAGATCTAAAATCACTTGTAGTGTACAGAGACACGCCTGACAAACATACTACAACCTTTAGTTTGGTGAAATATGCCTCGACTGAATTTTAATGAATTTTTTTATAGAAATAAATCGCAATTGTGTCACATCCATATGACTTACAGATCTAAAATCACTTGTAGTGTAGAGAGACACGCCTGACAAACATACTACAACCTTTATTTTGGTAAAATATGCCTCGACTGAATTTTAATTTAAAATTTTAATTTTAAATTTTCTTGAAATAAAATGATACTGTGATACAATTGTAGTGTACACTGATTTGCAGTGAACATGTCACAAACCTATTTCAACCTTTTGTTTACTAAATTTATTCTTTGATTGGATTTTAATTTCCTGCAATGGACTTGCGACCTGTCCAGGGTGTTTTCTGCCTTTCGCCAAATGACTGCTGGGATACGCACATCTCATGAACCTTTGGTTTGGAAAACATGCAATATATATATAAGGAGTTTTAGGAGCATGTTATGCAAAGCTGCGCCGTGGGCATTTTAATTTTGGGCAATACATTTTAACTTTGTCATGTTTTGCAGTCCTACTAGAATATTCAATGTACATGCACTAGAATTTTCCTGAAAAACCTTTCTCAGACAAACTACAACCTTATTAGCATATTGTGGAAGAATTAGTTTTTTCTGGAACAAATAATTTGTCGCACATGAACAACACACAGTAGTCTGATTGTCATTATTATTTCATGAATGAAGTGTTGCTAAGGCACATCCATGTGACAAAAAATTATATTCATCTTTAAAAAACAAAGAAATAAAACTGACAAAAGTGTATCCAGTCTACATTAAGTACAAACTGCCATCATTTCATTCAAAGATGCGCAGAATTAAAATAATAAATTCTGGGGTATGAATTGCTGAACAGCTGACTATAACTTACACAACACTAAACTAACAATACATTAAAAATTAAAATTATTTGTTGCAATGTTTCTATTTTAAAAATACTTACTTCGCAGTACATATATCTTCCTGAACTACTTTTCTTACACATCCGTTTCACACATTTCACATTTCCATGTTATTTCCTCATCAGGAACAGCACCTGGTATCATTCCAAAGCAGTCTGCATGGAGCCAACTTTTACAAGTTCCACGTTATATAAATAGCCAAATAGAAGAAAGTGTGTGATAACAGTACCAGCAAATTTTGGATTCAAACATTTTAAAATTTCAGCATAATAATAATTTTCTGAAAATCTCTTAAAAACAAAAATCAGTGAAACAATGCAGCAGCCACACCAGAATCCAACTATCAAGATCTCTATGTCATAAGGATGTGACAAAGTGGTAATTTATTTCTAGAAAAAATTTATTAAAATTCAGTCAAGGCATATTTTACCAAACTAAAGGTTGTAGTATGTTTGTCAGGCGTGTCTCTGTACACTACAAGTGATTTTAGATCTGTAAGTCATATGGATGTGACACAATAGCGATTTATTTCTATAAAAAATTCATTCAAATTCATTTGAGGCGTTTTTTTCAAACTAAAGGTTGTAGTATGTTTGTCAGGCGTGTCTCTCTACACTACAAGTCATTTTAGATCTGTAAGTCATATGGATGTGACACAGTAGTAATTTAATTCTATAAAGAATTCATTACAATTCAGTCGAGGCATATTTCACCAAACTAAAGGTTGTAGTATGTTTGTCAGGCATGTCTCTGTACACTACAAGTGATTTTAGATCTGTACGTCATATGGATGTGACACAGTAGTAATTTAATTCTATAAAGAATTCATTACAATTCAGTCGAGACACTAGGAATTTAAATGTCATAAAAAATAAAAAAAGGAGTGTGTTATCAAACTAAAAGTTGTATTGTTTTTGCAGGATGGGTACCTCTACACTACAAGTCATTTTAGATGTGTATGTCTCATGGACGTCTCACAGTAGCAATTAATTACATATAAAAAATAATCTCTGCAGTCCAACTAAGGCAAATTTTATCAATCTAAAGGTTGTAGTATGTTTGTCAGATCAGGTCAGATGTATACTTGTTAGTCTCAGTTATTGATTTTCACATCATCTTTCTATTTCAGTAGGTTTCAAGTCTTTATAAATAACACCAACAGGCTCCTCATGTCTTTGAATGTTTTACGTTTTTAATCAGTACCCGCACTTTACCGACGGTCCCTTACCGTTTTCGGCGCCTACTCCAGCGATTCTGCCTATTTTCATCATAAGTGCTCGGTGAAATGGAAAGATCGAGTACTTTGACGTAATATAATGATTGTAGTTTGTTGTCTGTTTTATCCCGATTTTGAAAATTTTATTTCAGAATTTTTAAGACTTTGTTTGTGAGCGATAGGAGGGGCGAAACGCGAATATCCGCTGAATATCCAATATCAACCCAACTTTACCGACCTTCTGCATGCCGAGTGACGGGCGGAAGTGGCGGTTCTTGTGAGGGCAGGAAGCAGCCACTTCACCGTCGCTGCACCATCACTTCACCGGCAGCGTTATGAACATTATTACGTTGCTATAATAACCCGGTGAAGTGCGGTGTTATGGTCAGTTCAGTTGCCCCTATTCCCCCCTCATTGCGCCTATCGAAATCATGACGTCTTCAGTCGACGCTCCTCTGCGGGGCTTAGATAAGCTTAATTCGTTTGTTTTTGTACCGTAATATCGTCCTATTCCTCGCGGTAAGCGAATTATCACATTGTTTGTAAAATGACTTGTAGTTAAACACGTTTTAAAGTATAAAATGTGTTGTTA